GAAAACAATATATATATATATATATATATATATATAACCGTCCTATTCACCTATAAAGAAGCACATTTGTATATGGAGATGTGTGGGCTCTACACACACAAAAACACACATAAACGAACACACAGAAGCGCACCTACAAACATGTGGAGAGAGAGAGAGAGCAAATATGGAGCCGAGGATGGAGGGAAGTTTAAGCCCAAATTCATCCGCCTCCACCTTCTTTTCGACCCCCGAAAAGAAAAAAAAAAAAAAAAAAAATAGAAAGTAATGGCAATGAAACGGATGACGGGAAGTCTTGTCTTCTTTTTTTTTTTGTCGTCTTCCTCTTTTGACGTCTTCTATCTCTTCTTCTTCCGTTTGCTCCTTTTACTGTTACTGTGTTGTATTTTTCCTTCGTCCTTTCTTTCAATTTTCTTTTTATTTTTGCCCTCCTCCACCTCTCATTCTTCGCAGTCTACGGGTATATGTGTGTGTGCATCCCTCAGTGTTTTACCGTCCCTACTTTACTCCTTGGCGGCTCAATTTCGCGCATGAGTTCGCCCAACTTCTCGATAACGCCTCGCCTACTCAGTTTAAGAGAATTCAAATGATCAAGTCTGCCCACCTCCACTTCCGTCGCACCCTTGTTTCCCACTATCACTGGCGAGTGCAGCACAAAACTTAGCTGCCAAATGCGTTCGTTGAGCTGTCGTAGCTCCTCCGTCAGCTGATGAATCTCATCCTCGCGGGAGTCACGAATAGCAGAGGCCTTCTGCATCAGCTCCTTGTTTCCCTCAAGGAGAAGCAACCTGTTATTGATTTGCGTCTTCTTCCCCTCTTCCATGTCCCGGGAGTGACGCAGCAGCTCGCCGATGCCATCCTGAAACCGCGCGAGAAGCTTACTTGACGCATCCGCGTTGCTGCTGCTTATGCTACTGTTGCCGCCTCCACCACAGCGGTTGGGGCTACCCCACTCCCTCAATGACCCGCTCGCTTCTTTAATCTGCGTTCCTGTAACGGCAACAAAAGACCTTGCAGAACTTTCACAATTCTGCACGCCCGTTTCTAACGAGGTAGAATTAGAATTCACCAGGAAGGGTAACGGAGGTGGCCGCGACGGTGCCACAACTATCGCGGAAGTTGCGTTGCTCGGTTTCGGCAACGCCGTAAGACTAGATCTACTGGTAACTTGGCCCATTGCCTGTGCAACATTGGGCTGAACAGCCTTTTCATTGGGGGTTCGCTTAGGCAGTGAACGACAAATAGACACAATGGGCAGTTTGTGCTCTTGTTGTTGTTGTCGTTCCCGCAACGCCCCCTCCAATAAAGTATTAGGAAATTCGTTCTTGTAAGTAAGTACATCAACGTTCGTCGACGACAAATTTCTAAGCACACCGTCAACGTAGGATCGTGTCGATCGATCCCCTGTTGTTGTGATATAGACACCATCACCGTGTAGAACATTCTGCTTCCATGTACACTCAAGCACGTTCCCCTCAATGAAGGTGTACACGCCATTTCCATGGCGCAGCGGCAGTGATTTCCCACCGTCGATAAATTCCCCCTCATACTTATCTCCGTTGGGGTACAGCAGGGTGCCTGTACCGACGACCTTACCGTTTTTTAACTCACCCTGAAAAACACCAAGCGTGGGAAAGCTAATTTCTAACCTTCCATTGGGTTTCCCATTGGAAAAACTACCCACCATGACTGTGCCGTTGTCCAAGATCATTTTACCATCCCCGGTGAGTTCATCCATGAGAAATTCACCCTCATACGTATAACCCTCTCGCTCCACACGAATTTTCCCCTGGCCATTACGCTTCCCATTTTTGAACTCCCCGGTGTAGGAGTAATTCTTCACCACGGAATCAACACCGCGTCCCTCCTTGACTCCATTTTTCCACCCACCGGAATATGTGGAGCCGCCAGGCAGGGTCAACGTGCCTTCCCCATTCAAGTGGCCTTCCTTCCATGTACCCTCGTACCTCTCTACATTTCCGTTGATGTCCTTCCAGCAAATGTTGCCGTGGCCGTCGGGAAAGCCAAGAAGAAAGGATCCCTCATAGTCAACCTCCTGTGATTTAAAGACCCCGAAGCCATGTGGTACACCGGCCTTCACAGTACCTCGATAGCTCTGTCTATTCTCCCACGTCCATTCTCCGCCTCCGTTGGGCAGCCCGTTAATCCACATTCCTGTGTATTGACCGGAAATGTCAATTCGCGGAATAAAGCCCCGAACTTCCGCTGAAATTGGTGGCGGTGGTGCAGGTCGTGGATCCGGAGTCACAAGAGTAAAAGTGCCGCTACCAGACCCTTTAAGCACGCCTGCCGTAAACTCCCCTTCATATCGAAGCATGACCTCACCAATGCCAGGAATAGTCATTCGTTTCTTGTCCAAAATACCCGCCCCATTCGGCTTCCCGGCAACCATCGCGCCTGTGTAGGAGCTTCCGTCACAGTATTTCGCAACCACGTCGTTCCCTGTCATTTCACCCTTGATACATGGGCCCTCGTAAAATATCAGGCCCACTCCCACCAAAACAGCCGCGTCACCTCTGAAAGAAAGATGACCTTCAAGTAAGTCATCCTGCCATTCTCCATCGTATACACCGGTTTTACTGTGCAACACTCCTTTACCGCATCGACGATCCAGTCGAAAGAAACCTTTGTATGCGTCACCCTTCACTGTACGGTGCTCACCTTTACCGTCGCGAGAGAAACCGGCACATTCGCCTCGATAGCTACTACCATCCGAGTAAAGGAACTCTCCCACCCCGTTGGGTGCATCATCGCGGAACTCACCCTTGTACTCAACTATATGAGGATCACCCATTCGTGGCGTATACCCAGGCGTGCTGGATGTCCTATCCAAAAGTAATTCCCCATGACCATGTCGCTTGTCATGAAGCCAATCTCCCTTATAAACGTTTCCATTCACATACCTGCACTCACCACTCGCCCCACTTCGCTCTCCATTCACAAAGAATCCTGTGTACTCCACAAAATCATCAACACCTGGTGCCCCAAAGAGTTTACCTTTACCATGCATTTTGTCTCCTATCCACTCCCCTTCATATCGCCCACCGTTCATGAATGTGCAAACCCCATAGCCACAGCGTTCTCCCTTCGCAAAATCCCCCTCGTAGGTATACCCTTCTTCACCTGGAATGGTGTAGGTGCCCTTTCCATGAGGTTTATCCTCTAACCACATCCCCACGTAACTGGCCCCGGTTGCAGCCCAAAAAAATTCGCCCTCTCCATCCTTGATGTTCCCCTTGACCGCCTCACCTTTATGGCAGTCACCGTTTGCAAAGTTCCGTTCCCCTGACATCACAGGCATAAATGACGGAAATGCCCCACCACGCAATTAAAATGACAAGAGCACAGAATGTTCCTCTTGAATTTGCCGTGAAACCTTCAACTCTATCCATAGACGCACAGACACACAAAGAAAGGAAAAAATAACAACAGAAAGCAAGGACAATGTGGAAGACGTAAACAGGAAAGAAAAACAAATGAACCCCCCCCCCACCACCACCACCACCACCACAAAAAAAAAAAACACCTCAACTTCAGCTCACAGACAGCGGCAGACAAAACACCGTAGCCAAAAGGAAGATTTGATGCAGCCTGTAAAATTATCTGCAAATGCACAAAAGGAACAGTTCACCAGAGCCGCGAAACCAATGGGACTCTGCAGGAACACATAGAAAATAGAGAAGTAGACCTGAACCAGAAAGAGAATAAAACCACCCAAATAGTGCAAAGATAAAATAAACATAACAAACACAAAATAATGAATAAAGCAGCGTGTGTATATAAACACATATATGTCATACACCTTCTGTGACCACTAAGTCCCATGCACGCTGTAATAAGAGAGGAGGAATAGAGAATTGTAGAGCGAAGCGCAGTGCCTGAGAAGTCATCCCCTTGTGCTGCGACGTGCCCATATTGCCAATACTTTGAACGGGCTCCACACGATACGAATGGACAAGTTGCTCGTTACCACAAACAAATTCTGCCCACGCCTCTCCGCTCTCTTCTCCCCGCTTAGAAGCAGTCATCGCAAGCGTCGTCTGCATCTCAAGCACCATGATTTCCTCCCGAGGAATGAGATTGGGCTGCAGCACCTCCACATAGTGCGTTGCCAGAAGCACAATGGGACGTCGTTCACCAAATGAAATCAGCGACCGTATGGAGGCTGCCAGCAATGCGGCACCGTCCATTGAAAGTGTTCCCTTTCCAAACTCGTCCAGCACCAACAACGAACGCCCAGATCCAGCCCCTCCCTCCTTGTTACGAATACTGCATCTCTGTAGCATACGACTCATTGATACCAACTCATTCCCGAAGCTTGAATGTAACTCCTTCGTTGCAGACATTGAGTTTCTGCCGTTGGAATTGGACGACGCGGCGTAAAGGGTCATCAAGGTGTCGAAAAGACCAATGGTAGCATGGGCACAAGGGACATAAGACCCAATATGGGCAAGAAAGACTGCATGTGCGATGGCTGTGATAAAGATCGACTTTCCACTTCCATTTGCCCCTGTAACCACACAAACCCGTTCAGTGCTGTTGCGAATATTTAGTGAATATGGCACGACTTGATGTGCCGCAGTGCGTGCAAAAATGGGGTGAACCCCGCTGTCAATAACGAGTACGCCAGGCTCTGGTACAAGCTCTGGACGGCTCCATTGCCCCTCCAACGCACAAAGCGCAAACCCCATAAGGCAATCAAGTTCCGCACAAAGGTGTAGAGGAATCAGTGCCGGTGACAGGACTATCAAATATTGATCCAACTGACGCTGGATCTCTCCCTCTCTCTCCAAAATGGCCGAGCGCACATCTCCCAATTCCTCGTCCAAGCGACGCGTCAATGGGGTTTTGAAAAAAGGTCCCTCCTCAGTTCGAAGCAGCAACTCCCAATCAGGTGGCATTTCCTCCAGGGTGAGTGGCAGCGAAAAATGAGGGAGCGTCACAAGATAGCCCCAGTGCGGTACGAACACGCACACCACGCTACAGGGACTCCAGCTCGAAGGCAGGCAACGGGACTCTTCATGTGCAATAATCGTCAACACTTCATCCAATCGAGAGCAGTGGGCTTGAAGTTCGTCCAATTTGGCATCAAACCCCGAGCGGATATGCACATAGGTTTTACTCAACGCCCCGTCAGGGTCTCTGGAAAAAGAAATACCCTCATCAATGAGACGGCTCATTTCTTCCAGTTGAGTGGTTTGACAGCTTGCGACAATGCGCAAAAACATAGGTAGAGAATGTGCCTGCGGTAAGAGCAGCGATGTGATGCGCAAAAAGCTCCTCACAGAGCGCAAAAGAGATTCGTAGTCTGTTGTTCTGTGTTTTGCCGCCCGAATCTTTGTGAAGATGTTGCTCGTGTACCGTACATGACGCAGTGCGCGCCGAAGCTGCATCATGAGATCGTAATTCTCCTGCATTGTGAAGAATGAGACAACGTCGTAACGTCGCTGCAATTCCACTTCGTCTCGCACCGGAAGCAAAAACCACTGCCGAAGAAGTGCCCGACCAAGCACACTGCACGTGCGATCCACAACGCTTAGCAGGGAAAGCCCCTCCTTCCCACGCCCGATTCCCTGAAAGTCCATTGGATGGGGTTCCGTCCGAAGAAGCTGCAGACCAGACAGCGTGTCCTGATCAACGTACAGTAGACCTATCGGAGGCACCTCAGCCACGTCAGCTATGGGGCACTCGCACCGTTGCAGGTAAGGCAACAGCGCCGAAAGGGCCATCAGCATCACATGATTGTGCGGAGAGATGCGGGAGTGCCACTCCAGCCGAGTGACGCTTCCCCACAAAATGCCAAGGAGATCCCAAACGCGACCCTCATCAAACTCGCAAGGGGCTGTGAGAACGACATTCACAGAAAACACTGAGGCAATGTCCAGCAGTACCTGCGATCCCGCGGACGGGATCAACACCACCTTCGGCCTCTTAAGCGAAAAAAGCTGCGCCACCCACACAATATCCCCTGGCACATCCATCGCACTGCGAACAACCACCTCCTCGCTGCGGTCCAACGCCACTGCAGCTTCACAACAGCTCACCTGACAAGTGGCACTATCGTAGGACGCAACGCCAACGCGGTTGTGCAGCAGCAAAACACTAACAACCTCGTGTGAGGCGAGTGCCTCATCAGACTCACATGAGCCATCCATCGCCGACACAACCTCATCCACAACTCCGTCATCCACAACAAAACAAAAAAAATGCAAAAAAAAAACACATCCAACAGCACATCCACGCAAACCCACAACCTCACACAAGAACCACATACATTGCCTTAACACTCCACGTCACCTCGACACTACAAACACAGAAACGGGCGCACACAACAAGGAAAAGAAACAAATAATAAAAAAAAAACGTCGTTTCATAGCAACTAACAATGTACGTATATATATATATATATATATATATGTACAACGCGTACAATCACAACACAAAACAAAAAAAAAAACTACACTTCACTCAAGACGCGCAGGAGCGGTATTGTGCCCGATGCGAGGCTGCTCCCCACTGCCACCCCCACCGGTGCGCAAGAGCCGTGCCCGCTTGATCTCCTCGCGCTCCGCGGCAATCTTCACCTCCTCCTGCTTCGACAAGTGCGAGCGGTACTCCACCATCTTGCTGCGCCGCGTCAGCACCTCCTCGTTGTTCTCGTCCACGGGGTGGTTGAACTCGATGCCAGCAGCGTCCAGCGCCTCCTCCGACTCCCTGAAGTCCTCCAGCGCCTTCGCCTGCTTCTCCTTCAGCATCGCCAGTTCCTCCTCCACACCCTGGCGCAGCTTGTACAGCTCCTTCTTCATGTCGGCATGCCTCTTCGCGTTCGGGTCAAACGTCTCCACGCAGAACTCAAGCTGAATGTGTGTCGTGCGGATGTTGCGGTCAATCTCCTCCATCCGCTTC